TCTATTCCGTTAATAAAGACCCTCCAATAATAGTTTCTCTCAAATATCTTCCATGAACAGACAGCGATCAGTTATACACAGGCGCCTTCTTTTATGTAAGCTATATATTACTCCAGCTAAAATTATATCTAAGTACTAAATTTCATCTAAATCGCTCGAGCCGTTTCGGTGTAAGCGAGTAACAAACACACAGACATACATACTATCGCATTTATGATGATAATATGATGAATATAGTATATAGTAATAATTATAACTGTAAATGAAGATAAATAGTCAAACAATAAAGTGTGGATGGTGAGCTTTTCCCACGTCGCGTCGTGCTGCGTACGTTGCGACAGCTATTCGGGTGAGCACTCATTGTTCGATTATCTTCTAGAAACATTCATTTTATGAATCATATTATACAATCTAACGCCTGCTAGATAAGTTGATTTGCCCAGTAACTGTGCTAGAATTTGCCGTTGAAAACGTGCTTCTCTGTCTTCCATATCCCATAGACTTATATAGATTGAAATAATCATCTGTAGTTAATTAATAAAAAAATAAATTATTAAAAAACTTGCTACTACTTTACTCCTACTTGCTGTGCCAGCGGTCGGGGGTTCGAGTCCCGCTGGGGGCATTCATTTGTGTAGCATGATTGTTTGTACTCCAGTTATGGGTGTTTATGTTTATAATACGTATGTATTTAGAGTTATATATGTGTAGTGTATCAACTATCTGGTATCCATAACACAAGCCTCCTAGCTTACCATGGAACTAGGTGGTCCCGTGAATTAATGTCCCAACATATTTATTTAATTTATTTATTTTGATCTAGTCTCCTCTTTTTTCTTAATTCAAAACACAAGCTAATGTTGAAACACTAATGCCCGATTTCACCAACGTCACTTAAGTGTAAGGGATCCCCTAAGAATGGTTATAGGGCTGTTAGGGGACAGTTTCTGTTTCACCGACAGTTAGGGGTCACCTAAATATTAAAAGGCCCCCAAAATTTAGGCGCTCGAAATATGGGCTTAAAGACGATAGTAAAAGGAAATTTAATTTAGGGGCTAGTTTAGGGGACTTTTAAGCCAGGGATCCCATACGTAGGTGGTAGCTTATGGGTTGTTGGTGAAATCGGGCAAAAGCGTTGGTTATTTGCCTGAAAGACTGTTATAGATTTTGTATGATCAATTCAAACTTTAGCTCCAACCAATATTCGAACTCAGTACCATCTGAATAAGGGCAGTATCAATTGTCTTTATAACATATTTATAAAAAAAAATACTTTAAAAAAAATATATTCTAAAACAAATAATAAAACACGTAAAGTTCAATTCTAAAGCTAGTTCTAAAACAGAAATTCACAGAAAAGCTTATATTAATTTAATTAATAATTATACCTCAATCACAAGCATCGTAAATACAACTCAGCAATAATATTTATTTAGCACTATTTCAATTATGAATACGCTTGAAATGTAACGATTTAATTAAATTTTATCTTCAAATAATCTGTGTTTGAGATATTTTTCCAGTAACACTCGTTGTTTCATCATTTAAGCTGTAGAAATAATATCGAAAGCTCATCTCAAACTAATTGGTGTAATTTTATTCTTTCTTTTCTAAATGCTGTAGCGTTTGTGTTTATCGATAGTTAATAAAGGTAGGTTATAACTCCCCCCAACGTGCGTTCACCTTGTCGTGGTGGGGGGCTCAGTACTGCCCGGCAATACAGCCGGGCGCGAAGCCAAGAAACGCACAGGGAGGTGGCCCACTTCGGTGGGCGGTGGGAGGTGGCCCTCTTCGGTGGGCGGTGTACCATGTGGGTTACTCCTGGTACTTCTCTGATAGCAGAGTGGACCTTGGATCAACCCCATGGTTGTTGTGGTCTGCTCCGGCAGACCTGCCGTCGGGGCGTCGTAGTTAAATGCGTAAGCGATCCTGCGACGCCCCATAAAGACGGGGGAATGTTGGGTTTCAGTGGGTAGTACTGGCTTTGCCGGTGAGTCCCACACCTCGTGCGTAAATGCATTTCCCAACGTTAAAAAAAAAGTAGGTTATAACTGTTTGTGTGTCCTTACGTTATATTAATATCGTGAAAGTTAACTTTTTGCCCAGAATGGCGTTATTATTAACATGCTTTTGTATTTGTAACTTATCATAATAAATAAACAAATAAATATGTTTGGATATTAACACACAGCACCATCTAGTTCCATGGTAAGCTACGAGGCTTGTGTTATGGATACCAGATAGTTGATACACTACACATATATATATGAATTTAAATACATACATATTATAAATATTACCATCCATGACTGGAGTAAAACGATTCGTGCTCATCACGCAAATGAATGCCACCAGAGAGACTCGAACCCGCGACTGCTGGCACAGCAACTAAGGTCACTACAAACTGAGACTAATGTGTCGTCAAGTAAAATGTATCATGTAATCTGGAAGTCGATTAACAACATACGATTTAACCTAATTCTAATTCAAAAGATAGATAGTTTTTTCATGGCTAGTTTTACTATACTCTTCGAGTTTAAACTAATTTGATTCATTTGAACCAAGGACCATTTTTACTTTAAGTTACCTTTTTAGGGGGTTTAGAACATGGTTTTTTGCAAAATATTTTAACAACAATCTTTTTCATCTATACATATAATAAAATTCTAACTGAGCCGAATCTGTACATGAAGTATTTGTTGGAAAATCTTATTGAAATAGACATTATTATCGATACAGAGGCTACATCTATAGTTTTTAGAATTTTTGTCTGTCTGTCTGTTTGTCTGTCTATTACCGCATCACAGAAAAACCACTGGAGAGATTTTGACGAAATTTGGTATGATGATAGCTGGTTATCCAGGTCAACAACATATAGGATACTTTTTACCGCGTGAAAATATCTCATTTATGAGAAAAAATACAAAAACTGCATTGTAAGAGTATACTAGTATGTAAAACCTAAGAATTTGGTTTTTGGTCATGTAAACGCGGGCGGAGCCGCGGGCAATGCTAGTAACTTATAAAGTTATTCCGTCAAAGGACTTAATTAAATTATTTGTCATCAAGTGTGTTACCACACTAAGCCTTTTGATAGGTTTAATTCTATAATAGCGTTGTCATTATAAGTAATTAACACATTCTATTTGTTGATAAGAAGGTTTTTTTTAATCATTTTGAACGAGTAACTGAAATTTATAAGGCTTAGCTCAGAACCCGAGTTTTACTGTCCTTGATCGATACTACTATATTACCTATGCCTATTCATATTATGTTTATTTTTTATTATTGTTTTATTATGTTCTGTTAGAGTTTAAGTTTTGCTTTTTTGTGTTTTTTTTTTAATTTTATAATTTGTTTTTTATCTATTTTTTTGTAATTTTGACTTAGTCATTTTTTTTGTTGTCCTTTTTGTAGTGTTTTTTTCAGTAACTTTTGTTAAAATTTTATTATATTGTTTTTATGTTTAAACTAATCATGTTTACTCTACCTGTGACATATTTATAGGTGGAAACTTTGCGGGTGTATGGATGCTTTAGTTTGTAATTATTTTTAAGAATTATCTCACTGTTTGTTTCCCAAATATTAATAAATAAATAAATACTACAGTTGGATATTAACAAAGACATAGATTATGAGCGTAACAGTTAAACCTCTGTTATATCAAACCAAGTAGTGTCTGTGGACTTTTACCTAGTTTTTTGCTAAAAAAATACCTCATCTGAGCCGACAGAGGGCGTGTCATTGCTACTAAATAAATGGACCCAGTTATGCAAAAAACTGCTATGTGCGTAAAAGTTCCAACAGAGTAATAAGCATTTTATTATAAAAAATAAACAATACTTATATAAATATTGTTCAATTTTAAAATAATCAGAAAAACAAAACATAACCCAAGTGCAACTATCGACAGAAAAATGCTTATAACTCGTTTGGTACTTTAACGCACATGGCTGTTTTTTACATAACTGGGTCCAAATATAGTTAATGGGCAATTTATCAAGTATTTTGACCTAGCTATTAATAACTAAAACACTTTAATATTTATAAGACACTCTACTTATCTCGTGCTAATTAGAATTCACCGTCGCATCCATCTTAACCTTTTCTAAATATAATATGACATTTATATGGGACGATTTTGTAATTACCATTAATTACAACCATCGTGCGGTATGAATGGGCCTCGGTGCATATTTGTGTCTACGCCAAATATTTTAATTGTCCGAATGAGTCTAAAAGAGTCGATTGATAGTATCTTTTGAACAGAATTTATCGACTGTTTACAGCGTGTAATTATGGGTACATCATGAATATCAATGATTGAGGGTTATGGTTTAACGTGCGGTGTAAATTTGAATAGTTTAAGACGACGGAAGTAGAAATGATGGGAGAGATGATGAAAGGTTATTAGGGATAAGAAAACTAGATTTAGAGTTAGTGCTTCTCGTTAGTTTTCTATTTTTACTTAACAATATATTTTATAACACAGATACGAGTAATTTTAATGATACTATATGTGTTTTATTGATATTAAAACACAATTTTAATACGTAATATATTTGCCTGTTTAAATAACAGCCTCACCTTCCTAGTCTAGAAAATTCTATACAAACTAAGGGTTACAATAAATGATTGCGAACTTAATTTAAATAATTAGAAAGATTAATATAATATAAATATATCAGGACATTAACACACAACACCATCTAGTTCCATGGTAAGCTACGAGGCTTGTGTTATGGATACGAGATAGTTGATACATTATACATATATAACTTTAAATACATACATATTATAAATATAAACACCCATAACTGGAGTACAAACATTCGTGCTCATCACACAAATGAATGCCCCCAGCGGGACTCGAACCCGCGACTGCTGGCGCAGCAAGTAGGGTCGCTACAAACTGAGCCAAACGTGTCGTCAAGATTATTTACTTAATGTTAGCAAGTAGCAGCTATGTAAGTAGTAATGAAAAATCTTACTTTTTCTAGATAAACAACAAATGAAACGTAAGAAATCTACTGAAGATGTGCGATCACCTCTTGGAGGTGAAGGGTCGATGACCAGTGAAGAGGGTGAAGAGATTGGTAGGCGTAAGAAAGCCAGGACCACCTTCACTGGGCGCCAGATCTTCGAACTTGAGAAGCTGTTCGAGGTTAAAAAGTATTTATCTTCTGGAGAAAGGGCGGATATGGCTAAATTGCTTAACGTGACAGAAACTCAGGTGAGCCTTTAATATATTTTGCTGATAATTTTATAAACTTCTACATTTTCGGCACAAAAGTAATAATTTTACACTTATTGACCTAAACTTTATTATCTAATATCTATCATCTAAAACAGCATCAGAACAAAGTTTAAAAATTTAGAAAGAATTTACATATTGATTTAAAGGGTTCAGAATAATAATATAAGTTTTATAAAGACACTAAAAAGCCCTATACTTTCGTACGTATTGCGCTCTCGAACCATCCACCCGCATGCGCACGCGCAGCTTCAAACACTAATAGCAGGGAGTGTATCTGTCAATAGATGATATTTAAAGCGTTACAAATCGCCGCTGTAATTACTTAATGGGTCATCACCTCATCGTGTGTTCCACGAAATACCATTTTAAACGTAATGTAAACGGGCAACTACGGTCGGTAAACGGTTGTATTCTATTTAACCTACTTCAAAGAAGAGGGTACGCTGTATTTGGATAAATGTTTTTTTAGTAATTATGATATGTTTAGTATATATTAATATATTTTTAGTATATATAATATATATTTTATGATATTTTAGCTAATTATACAACGACTTTGAAGATTATTTTTTTTATTCATCAAGTTATTAGGTATAAAAATATAGATAATATATTTTTTTTTGAGACTGTCTGACTGCCGCAGGTCGCCAACTCCACTACTGAATGTTTATCCTGTACGAATATCTTCCATATTGAAGACGTTCAATAAATGTATTTTATTGTATTATAAATGAAATTACTGCATAAATGTTCATTAAAGCCAGCGATCATCTATTATTATTGCATTACTAGATACCATAATACAAGAGAAAGAAGGTATAGATATATTAGATAGAAGATATTTAGATTAACTGTGCTATCACCATATAAAAGTTACCTTCCAATAAATAAAGAGTTAAATAAAACTGAACTAATTCGTTATATTTTATCTAACATCAAATAATTCTAACATAATAAAAATCCAATAATATACTATTAGGGTGCATATAATTTATTATGTCGCAAACCAACAGTTAATTATTGTAAATGATAAATATACCGTGGTGACAAATTCTTTCGCACGACTTGCTTAATGGGCCACCGTCCTGCTCCCGCTGCCGTGCGGTCGGGGTTCCTCGAAATCTTCACAAATTAAGTGCTTAGTTGCCAGCTGGGTCTCTACTTTTCTTATAAATTTACAAAGTATGAGAGATAGCGTTTTCTATATATATAATAAAATTTTTATTGAGTCAAATCTGTACATTAAATATTTTTTTAATAATTTTATTGAAATAGTCATTATTATCGATACACAGGTCGAATCTATAGTTTATAGGATTTTTGTCTGTCTGTCTATCTAAAAACGCATCACGAGAAAACCACTGGATAGATTTTGATGAAATTTGGTATGATGATAGCTGGTTTTCCGGATAACCAGCTATTATCATACCAAATTTCATAAAAATCCCTCCAGTGGTTTTTCCGTGATGCTGTAACAGACAGACATACAAACAGACAGACACAAACATTCTAAAAACTATAGATTCGGTCTCTGTATCGATAATAAGTCTATTTCAATAAGATTTTCCAAAAAATATTCAATGTACAGATTCGGCTTAGTTACGATTTTATTATATGTATAGAAGGTACAAGAGTCGGCTTTATCGCTAAAAGAGCGATTTCTTCCAGGCAACCTTTAGGTGTAGGAAATAGTACTAACATAGAAAGGTATAGGTATTAGACATTATAATATATTTCAATAAATTATATCTCGTCTTATATTTTTCTTATGTTTGAAAAGAAAATTATCTCAGTGTGTTATCTAACTGGCTTGTAACTCTCAGTTAATGCATTTGCATTCCTTATATGTACCTACATACATGGATCTTTTACCTAATTTGATAAAGCCGTTTAATGTAAATGGTCTAATTATTTTATCCCAACTTGAGAGGCATTCATTCAAAGTTCTTATAATTACATTATAATCAACATCCCCCTCTTGTATTATTACAACAAATTTAAATCATTGTTAATTTTTGGAATGACATAGACAAATTTGTTTAAAGAGATTATCTTTGATATTATGAGTTATAATTATATTTTAACGTTTTAACGGTTAGATAGACTATATATTATATGATATATAGCTTATAGCTTTCCTCAATAAACGGGATATGTAATGCAAAAAGAATTTTTCAAATCGGATTAGCAGTTCCTGAGATTAAGGCCTCCAAACGAACAAACAAATTCTACCTCTTTATAATATTAGTAAGTGATAGTCGAATATATAAAATTTCCATGTCACAATGTTAGTTACCGTACTCCTCCGAAACGGCTTTACCGATTTTTACCAAATTTTAGGTTAGGTTAGTTTAGGTCTGAGAATCGGCTACTATCTATTTTCCATACCCCTAAGTGATAAGGGTGGCCCACGTTAGGGACGAACCCGAACGGAGCGAGGGTGAGTCGCTAGTAGTTTATAATATTAGATAATGAATAAATAATATAATCATACAAAATCACGTTATTATATTATAACGGAATTGAAACCAATGTACAAGTAACTTACACCATACAGTTAGCTCAAAGTAGATAATTATACTATCCAAGGTGGTAGCGTCCCCCGCTGACGACGCACACATGGCGGCACTAATTAAACCGTCCCATCATATTCTAAACAAAATGAAATTAACACATGCCTCTGCAGTGACACCATGGTGGTTCCCTTAAATAGTCTATTTTCAAAATTATGGAAATTATACTATAGAAAAGCAGGCTATTTAACACTAGCAAGGGCTTGTCTTACTTTACTTAAATCTAATAAAAATTATTAATTTTATTAAAATGTCGCGAATATATTTAGCAAATGTCAAATTGTATCTACTGTTTGACGTTTAATGTCACATCTATACATATAATAAAATTGTAACTAAGCCAAATCTGTACATTAAATATTTTTTGGAAAATCTTATTGAAATAGACATTATTGTCGATACAGAGACCGAATCTATAGTTTTTAGAATTTTTGTCTGTCTGTCTGTTACCGCATCACGGAAAAACCACTGGAGGGATTTTGATGAAATTTGGTATGGTGATAGCTGGTTATCCGGGTCAACATATAGGATACTTTTTACCGCGGGAAAATGTTTCATTTCTGAGAAAAAATACAAAAACTGCAATGTAATAGTATACTAATATGTAAAACCTAAGAATTTGGTTTTTGGTCATCTGAACGCGGGCGGAGCCGCGGGCAATGCTAGTTATTATTATAAATACCAAAGCTTGTGTGTTTGATTTGATCCACAAACAATTAAAATTATAAAACTATCCCCTAAATTGTGAAAAAGCTGTTAAGATGTTTTAAAAAAACTGTCTAAACTTTTTGCGAGCTTCCGTGTGGCATCCGCTCGTTAATTGTCTTGAAAATATTTAGACACGTGGTGTGTCGTGAGCTTACACATTCTTTACTTAATAAGGTTCTTGTAAAAAAAGTTATCTTGTAAAAATAATTATATTCCCTAGATAACTTCGCGTCCAGCGTCCTTGACTTCGGCCAAATGTCTATTTAACCAAAGGAAAAGCTTTAAAGGACAAATTTTATTTTGTATTAATTATAATTATGACGACACGTTTGGCCCAGTTTGTCGTGATCCTACTTGCTGTGCCAGCGGTCGCGGGCTCGAGTCCCGTTGTGGGCATTCAGTTGTGTGATTAAAACGAAATTCGCACTCCAGTCTTGGGTGTTTATATTTATAATATGTATGTATTTAAAGTTACATATGTGTAGTGTATCAACTATCTGGTATCTATAACACAAGCCTCGTAGCTCTTCGTGGAACTAGATGGTGCTGTGTGTTCATGTCCCAACAATTTTATTAATTACATTCACGACATACCCGAAAACTACTATTTAAAGCATAAAAAACTATACCTGCGCCGACAAGTTCAACCCTCATACATTATTCTCTTCCCCATAATCAATTAACAGTAAATTCAATAGCTATCATAGCGGAAACAATTAAGAGATCAATTTAATTTCTCTACACGGGAATCAAACCTGAGAATCATCGTTATAATAGTCAAACGGTTACCTTACTAGAATATCAAACTCGTATTCAAAAATACTTATATTGTGCTAGTCTATACTAATATTATAAAGAGGTAAAGTTTGTGAGTTTGTGACGTTGTAGGGGGTAACTCTGGATCTACTGAACCGATTTAGATGAAATTTGGTAAGAAAATAGTTTAAGACCCTGGGAAGGACATAGAATATTTTTTATCCTGAAAATCATCCCTCAAGGAGGTGAAAATGGGGATGAAATTTTGTATGGGGAATCAACATACAATTTCTTACCTAATAACTTACATATTCTTTAGGAAATACTCGAACTTAATCTATTTACATAGCTAAGTGGCTTATTAATTCGCGGTCGTGTTTCTGTTTGTTCGTCCGTACGAATGCAACTTGAATGTTATTTTATCGCAATCGCAAGAATAGCTACACTCATTGACTCGTCGATTCAAATAAGAGTATTTATCGTACCGCGTAAGTTATAGGAAAATAATTCTAATAGCTAAAGTGTAAGGTTAGTTTTGATTTAGCAAATACTGTTGCTTGAAGCGTTTTGGCGGTTGGACGTAAGTTGAATCCACGGGGATCGAAATGTATAGGGTGATCTCGCTCAGTGTTTCAAGTATGAGGGGACGATCTTTTGAATTCGCAATTGAACACTCATATATAATTTATCTTTGTCCATTAATTATAAGTTATTTCCTACAATTATAATATTGACACAAAAATAATTTTGACCGACTTTGAATAATGTGGATGTGTGTTTTGGGCTCTATGTTACGAGATAGCTTTACCAATTGCGAATTGTCGTTGTTACTTTATATCTATGTATCTTTATATCTATGTACTATATATCTAGGTTGCTGATAAATTCTATGAAAAAAACCCATCTGTACGGGTGGAATGATTAAGTTTAAATTTACTTAAAGTCGGTGCATGCATAATTTTAATTTACTAATTATATTAAATTTTAACAATTTCTTTTTATTTTTTACACTAAATTAATATACTCGTAAAAAAGCTATCTCTATCATAATCTGTTGTTTTGATCACTGATGTGCATTGCCATAACAACAATATAATTTTTTTTATACATGGCTTGCTGTTATTTATTTGCAAAAACAAAACAATTATAAATATTATAAATACAAACAGCCTCTATCCATACGTCATGCGCACATGTCAGCTGTTAAGTGTTTTTGTCCCCGTGGCGAGGTGCTTCATCTCAGACGGACGCTGCGCGTGCGCAAGCTATAGATATTTATCTCTGTAAAAAGATTTAATTGACATCATCACTTGTAGTATAAATATGTGCATTTATTTTTGAACACTGTCTGGTATAGTGGCGTTTTTATTTTGCTGTGTAGATTATAAGTTCGATTTTCCTGTGGGGAATTTTTTATGGTTTCTTTAGAAGTTATGAAGAAGGTTATGTTAGAATGGATATATGTATAAATAAATTGTATATATTATATGAAACGAAGGCAGTGGTAGCCCAGTGGTAACGCGATCGCTTGGGAAACCGAGTGAAGCAGGTTCAAATCCCGGGTCTTGCACCTCTGATATTTTCATGTGCGAATCATTTCTAACATGATTACCACTTGCCTTACGGTGAAGGAAAACATCGTGAGGAAACCTGCATGTCTGAGAGAACTTAGCAAGTTTTCGAAAGACATGTGAAGTTCGCCAACTCGCACTTGGCCAGCGTGGTGGACTATGGCCTGATTCCCCTCGTACTGAAGGGAGGCCCGTGCCCAGCAGTGGGACGATAAAAAGGGCTGAATACACATATGAAAC